CACCCCCCCTCCGCGGGAGCTTGCTCCCTTCAAAAAATATGGTATTCTGCACTTGAATTCCAGTAAAAAAGCAAACATGAACATTTTATGGTTAAGCTGGTATTTGGGAAATGCCAATTTGATACTAAAATTGTGATAATTTTGTCTTTTGTTTAAGTAACGTTTCTGTGGCATTTCCCCAATCCAGTCCTGCCAGTTACTCAGAAACAGCAAGCTATGTAGTGCCTCCTCTTTGCACGTTATAAAACCTGCACGTTGGTTTATTTCTGCTTGAATAATCTTCTCGGATGTTTCACACTCCTCTCTCTGATGGCTACTCCACTCAGAAACCAAAATACTTAGAAGCGGTGTCTTACGGACGCGTTGCTCCTCACCCTTCAGTCCCTCTCCAGGGCAGCTGAAAGGGAAATGGCAGCAGCCACAGCTCTGGTGTTTTCTGCCCTCTGATTCACTCATCTCCATGCCATGCTGTTGTCTTTAGGATGGATATACAATACCCATAAGCTTCTCTCCCATTCCAGCTTACTGATCTAAATCATGCTTTAGCTTACTGGTACAAGGTCTGCTGAAAGGGTGTTTTACTTACTCTTTTATGTAGCTTTAAATTGCAATTTTTTTTAAACGGCTTAGTATTAGTCCCACATTAAGATCATGTTTAGACTTGAATCCTTGTTCCAATGAACTATATAAAGGCCGTAATAAAAATGCCTGCGCAACACTCTCATATACACACCCAAATACATATGCATGGCTTTCCAATACAATAATGGCTACTGCAACTATGCTCAGGTAACACCCAGCTGCACGCAAATCTGTGCTGATCACACCACAACCACAAAATCTCCAAGAGAGACAGAGCCGATACTGCTGCCTCGCCATCCCCTGCACTCTCCTGCATTTCGCCGAGGATGCCGGCGGCAGGGCCGGGATGCTGGAGCCGCAGGACGCCCTGTTCCCATTGCCACCTTGCAGCCCAACGCAAAACTATGCCTGGAGACTCCGGGCGCCCAGGCCTGAAAGCATCCTTTCTCCCTTCTTTTTAAGCGCGAGGCGCCATCCCACAAAAGAAGGGGCTCTCGCCTTCAAAAGGTTTCTGTTCGTGCATCGTGGCCAGCCCTGAATCGGCTGCATTCATCAGCTCGCCCTCCGTCTCGGGCTGCTCCCTCTCTGGCTGCAGATTCGGCAGAACACCGAGCAAGAGCCAGATATAAATCTCTCCCGCTCAAAGGAAATATTTAGCAGAAAAATGAGTAGAAAACAAAAGACTTCTCTGTTACTCACCCAATCCTCTCACTCAGGGTGGCTCTATCTAACAAGCAGGCAAGTGAGCGCTCCTGCCTGCCACGGCTGTGCCAGGGGGACGGGAGCGGGGCTGCCCCACGCCTGGGAGCCCAAATGGCCTCAAGCACCGGCTGGGAAACGCAGAGCCTTTTCCATCAAGTCCACTGCTTAGTAAGCGTGGGAGTGCTGCTTAGGGCAGTGACGGGGGAAAAACCCCCAATGTTTCCTGTTAAGTCTGCAAAAGGAAAAACTCAAGAGAAGTTAACAGAATTTTACGTACGTATTAAAAGCCAAGAAACATTAATCCACAGCTTATCGCTGTTCTGCTGTTATTTCCCACCATGTGAGCTGTTCTGAAATTTAAGGTGTAGGATGCAGATCAACTTTGTTCCTCTTTTTATTGTAACTTCAGTTGTATAATTCACTAATTCTCAAGAAAGTCTGGAAAAGCCAAGTCTCCATGTGAATTCATTGAAATGACTGCGCTCCGGCTCTCCGACACAGAAACTTAACAGGTTTCTATTGTAAAATATTTATCTGGGAGAGAGAGAGCCATTTCATAAGCAATAACACAAGAGAGACAGCTAAGCCGTTTTACTGGAACTCAGGAAAGTCCTTTTGGGAAGGAAGAGGTGCAGGACAGGGTGTGCTCCAGCGTCTGCCTGACAGAGACCCTGGAACGAGTAACGCTCTGACTGGGGCTTCAGCCGAGGAGGACGTCTGCCCGCTCCCAGCCTGTAACCCATCAGGCTGGCTGCTTCAGCAGCCCAGCTGACTTTGCCACCGACTGGGCGTCAGAGCAGTGAGGTTTCAGGTGGTCGCTGAGGCACCCGACAACAGTACCCAGCAGCAGAACCAGCGGCTGCGGGGCACAGGGCGCTCCTTGGGCACGCACCTCCCTGCTGAGCACCCTGCCTGCCCACGCAGCGAGCACCCGGGCCGGCACGGAGGGCAGGTTTGGACTCGCTCATTGCAGAAACGTCAGCGCATTTTGTTAATCCAGCAGAGCAATGTAAAGACCTGCAGGAAGCGGAAAGAGGTGCGATGCACGCGTCCTTATGTCACTGCTTGAGTTCTTGCCCAAATCCCACCACTCCTGCGCTCATTTGGTATCTTGCGAAGTAAAGGACTATTAAGTTTCACCCACACAGTTGAAAATTTACAATACCATTACTTTAGTTCTGTATGTTCAATAATTCGGTTTTTGATATTTGTTCATCTTTTATCTAAAGCAAAACCTTCACTGTTTCATTTAATTAGTTTTCAAATTTTTATTTTTTGGTGCAATTATTATCTTGAAACCTACATTGGTAATGCTCAAAACTCTTCAAAAATACTGCCGTTTGAATTTTAGTCACGTACCGAAAGAAATACTACACAAAAATATTTTCTTGCTTTATCTCTACAGTTCCAGAAAAACTGCGTACTGGAGAAACCAAAACCACATGAATAGAGAAGACCTCAAATGGCCACTGTGTCTGTAACAGTCTATATACGTTATACACATATGACTGTTTGAGAGCCTGTATTCATGAATGTGTCTACATACGGCACAAAGTTCATTTGTCTGAGGGTTTTTTTTTAAACTGTTGTCAAAAACAAGGAGAACAACCTTGTGGTGGCACAGAAAACATGTGGTTACTGGATTTAGTCTTACCCTCCTAGTGCCACTGCTCATGAACCATGAACTGATTTTGCAAATCTGTCATTCAACACAATAATTTCTACATTTTTTTCTTATTGCATTTGTACATGTAACAAATTGGTACAAATGTTTACAATAAAATGTAAAGTTCATTGATACAATGCCTTTCACGATGGCCATAATTGGTTACTAGCCAACTCTGTAGTTTTTTAGAGACATTTCTAGCTGAACTTGGAAAAATAGGAAATGTATTGTAGCTTAAAATAAATGTACATAATATACAATATATATATTTATACACATGTGTATGTCTACATACACATATATTGATGTAACCTTTAAAGTAATGTTTAGTTTTGATCAGTTCTCTGAGTGCTGGGACTACCTGGCAAATAAATCTAGAAACGGAATTTGTCCACAATTAAATAATTATTTCCACAACTTAGAAAAATATACTTTTACTAAATAAGGTTTAAATTAACTGATTTATGGATATAGCATGGAGGATAATGGTTTCCAGACTCTGGCATGATTAAATCTGAAAGAACCCAAGCTACTACAAACCGGTAACGAACGCTGCCCCGCAGCCAAACACAGAAGAGCACAGAAACACAAGCTGCTGCTGCAGCCATCGTCGGTGGCACCCAAACCCTCTCTGGTTCGGTCACCTCGCACATAGGCTTCATTTCCACCTGATAAAAGTCGCCCACCCGACCTCACGCTCTGTTATTTAAAGCCCACTTCGACCACAACAACACGGCGCCTGCCGCCTTCTCCAAGTACAGCACTTGCTGATGGATGCGAGCAGCTCCCCGCTTCTACGCAACTCTTGCCTTGAGAACTAACATATGATCAAGGTCCCTAATTAACGACTTGGAGGACCATCAGTGCTTGAGCTTCACCATACGGATTTTGATCTACTGCATAGGTGAATATGTTATAGCAAAACATACATATATGTGCGTGTGTGTATATATATATATAAAAAAGTATATATACATATACACACGTGTGTGTGAGTATGTGCACATCTCTATACAAAAAATTTCACAGAGCTATGTGTAGTAATGCGATATACCATGGTATCCTGCATATGTTATCATCTGATTTATTTTTTTTAATATATAGGCACCAGAAATAAGTATATAGAGCAAATCAACCTTTAAAAATTAAAGTTAAATCAGTGGACAAGAACTTTGGTAAAGCTTGTCAATATTTATTTTTTTTATTCAAATACAGTCAAAGTCTATCAGTTGCCATCACCCTCTTCACAAGAGGAAAGTGCATGTTTTTTTTTTCCGAAAGAAAATTATACGTAAGGTGGGGCTTAATGATTCAAGAAAATTCTGAATTAAATGTTTACATTTTTCAAAAGATTACTATCTTTCTGATGGAATGAAAGCTAAATAGAGTTCTTGTCCTGTGTGTACTTTATTTATCGTATGCATATATATATAAATATATATATGTATGTCTTTTTTTATGTACCTGTGTGTGTATATACACATCCACACACTTTTAACAGGAGAGAGGAACCTGTTTTTCTCCACTTTGTATGTGAAGACTTACACGTTCCTCCCTGTTTTGTACCCTGTGCAGTATAAGCTCTAGTGATGAGGCCAAACAAAAAGATATAGTTCACCATAGTATATTAGTTTATGTAGCAAAGTAATTTTCAAGCAAGTAAAATAAAGCTCTGTATTCCAAACTTCTTTTCCTTAACATTTCTCATAAAGAAAAGGAAGGAAAAGGAAAGAGGGGAGGGAGTAGGATTATGGCAGTAGCATTGAGCCAGTGGCACACGTGTGTGTGCGTGTGCAAGCGTGCAAGCGCATGCACGCACACACACACACACATGCACAGAGAGCAGGGCTTTGGTTGACAAATGCAGATTGTCCAGAGAAGGTGGATGCATAAGTAAGGAAGACTCTACAGTGATGCAATTGTATCTTTTATGTTTGCATGGAGTGAGAAAACAAATTCAATTGAAAAAAAAAAAGCAAAGACCTCTTTTTAGGTCCCTCATCAGTGAGAGCATACTCAGTATGCTAGAGAATTTATCTGAAACCTTTTAAATCAAGGCCTCTTTATTACAAAAATAAAAATGAACAAACAAAAAAGTATGAGAGACGACAAGATGCTGAAGTGTCACTCCAATCGTCCCTGCAGAGAACAATTGCATCCCATTTATTATTCATTCTCTTCTCTCATTTCTACGATGTCTGTCATTTCCTCTGTGTGAGGCATGTCGGTCATTGCAGAGTCTTCACCTTCTGTAGCTGCTTCATTCTCATTCCGCTTCTTTTTCTACATTGAAACAAGCATTGGGAAACCTATCAGTAAGTTGTGCATGAACACAGTCCTACAAACTTTGGGCACTGGGAGAAGTGAGGTGCAAGTAATTTTTTTTTTTTAGTACATTACTAAGAGCTAGAATATTTGTGTCATATTCATGACTTGTCACTAGTAAGTTCTCTTAACTTAGAAGGTTTCCATAACCTTCCTGGGGCTCAGCTTTCTCCTTTCTAACATAAATGCAATAATAGAGGCATTTCTTATGCTAAGCAACATCCAAAACAGACTTCAGCATGACTGGAGGGAAGAGAGCATCTGGAATCTTTTACGTCACAGACTTTTTATTAAAAAAATAAGAAAACCAAACAAAATATGATGCTAAGATAAGCTGCTCTAGGGAGGGAGACAGAGGTGGCAACCTAATTTCTCAAATGTCAAACTTCAGGAATTTTACAAGATGTGAGCATTCTGGCTTTTCTTAATACTGCTGATCCACTGTGAACCCCCACCCCATCAACGCCAAGTAACACTAGAGTATTTTTGGCTAGCAGGAGCAGGCGGGCATTCAAGAGTCCTATGATTCATCCAGGATGTCCTGGATTAGTAGAGCTAAGAAGCATTCAGCCCCACTACAAAACAAGTTGAAGCATCTGTTCCTTATTATCCATTTCTCAGCAGGCTGACTAGTTTTACAGAAAACACTTGTACAGCTGACAAAAAATCCCCCACAGGTATTATTGATTCAGCTGAGTTGGGCATATCAGAGTTTCAAAATTTTAGAGGTGTCTACACAACACTTGATTTGCAGCTCTCAAACGCCGCCCACTTATTACCACTGTAGGTGAAAACAAGTTGGTGTATACAGCTACCGGCTAGCTCTGCCACTGTCACATCGGCTGTTGAGACGATGCTGTCAGCTACATACCAATTCTGGTAAGGGAATAAATTAGGTTGGCACAGTTATTACTACTACCTGCACTCATCACTGCAAAAAATCAAGCACCATGTCCCTGGCCAGAGACGCTCTATGAGCTATTCCTGTAACAAACAAGCGATGAGGAGGTCAGTCCAAACAGATACATGTTGTGAAACCACAGGCCAAGAACAGCCATTTCAGTGTCTACAGGTTTTACTCTTTGGTGCTCAAGAAAAACAGACTAATCATGACAGAGATCAAGGTCTTCTTTTTTCTTATGAACCTTGTACACTTTGGTCTACTGCCATGGCCTGCACTGTTAATACATATCAAAACTGGTTTTAGTTTGTTCAAACATAAGGCTTTTAGATATTCCATCTTCCGTTTTTTTTTGCTAAAAATAGAAGTGGTGGGCATCTTTGCTTGGCCTTTAGTAAGAAGTCTAATTAAAAAAAAAAGTAAACACATAGATTATATTTTCTGCTCCCATCCACAGTGTCCTTCTGCACCATGGAATGATGTACACACCATGCCATTTCTGCTTGGAGTTGTGCCTGGTGCCTACACAGTGCCTTGAACACATAACTGCAAGGGTGCAACACACAGGTACTGTGATGTACGCAGTCACCTAGCCAATATTTATCCTGTGTTTGACTTCATTTAGTGGAATATTCTTTGAAATCCATGTACCACTACTACTCTGTACATGCAGGATTGTAGTGTGTGAAATGTGTAAAAGTATGCCTATGAGAAATCCTCGCCTATTTGTAAGCTCTTACCCTCTACTGCTGTAGGAGTATATCTTGTTTTAAGCCACTTCTTTAGATGGCAGAAAAAAAAAGCAACTGTACTTTTTGTCCATTTTCAGCAGAGCTCGTTTTATAAAGAAATAGATGTATACATATATATACACACACGCATATACATATATATGTACATGTACATGTACGTGTACATGTACATATACACATACTAATAAGCTTGGATGAGTAGTTCCTATGTCTACATAAAGAAGCTATGTTGTACTGTAGTAGCAGATCTACAGTGCAAAACAGGTGGTGGTAAGGACATGATATCCATGATACACATGTTTAGAAGGGCAAGAGGTTTACTTCAGACCAGCATGTCCCATGGCCTGGTCCTATGGCCTGAATGCCCACTAGCAGTTGGAGGGCACCTTTTGGTTTTATTTCAACCCAGAGGATTCGCAAGTGGCATACTCTTGAGACTGCATGGGGAAACAAACCAAATTCAGTAAGTGGGGATGCTGGGGAGTTACATTTCAAAAGCGTACTCTTAATCTGAACTAAAATCCACTATATTCATCAACTGCTTTCACCAGATCCTGCAGACCCCGACCCTTACCTGTTTCCGATAGACGTAACAGGCTGCTATTGCAACCATGGTGGATTCTCCTATAAAACCAGCTAGAAGGGATCCTACTCCAAGAGTGGCTCCATGAACTCTGTGGGCGGCATAAAAGAAAGTAGTCATGACTGTGTCAGAATGCATAATTAACAATTATATTTCCACTGGCATATAGAATCAATCTGTTGTTAGAACATTTCCTTCAAAGACATAATACACTGACAAAAAGAATAACTGGTATTTTAAAGGACTTCTTTCAGGTTTTTTATGGCTTCACTGTTTAAAAGAAACACATTCTAAGCCAAAGTATGGGCTAAGAATTTGAAGCCTTGTACAGAGTGCTGTAGATCAGATTATTTAACTTATAAACAAGATATTCTTCCATTACCTTTCTTAGCAGTGCATTTAATAGAATGGAAATAAATTCCCGTAGGATCCATGTTTGCCTCTCTGACATTTGCCTATTTTTACAAAAGGGGCATCACTGTCATGCCTGCCTAGAGCAAAGTGATACTTGTGACTTTGTAAATGTTTCTTTTCCAGATATTGACAATATTTAGCCTTTAAATTATGGTTAGTATTTGGGGAAAATGTTCTGAGCTACCCAAACTCAGCTAAGTGACATGAAACAGGAATAAAGAGGGAAGCAAGCCCATCAGCTCTGTGGAGAGGAGAATGATTTACCCCAAGTAAGGCAGCACAATGAGACTGGTGATGAGGACAATAATCCGCAGCACTGAGCTGGGTGCCAACACAAATGTCTTCTTCAGAGTCATCAGCCAACCAGTCAAGTGCGCTCTGACTGTCACTGTTCATAAACAGGGGAAGGGGAAGGGATGGGAAGAAAGGGAGGCGAGAGTAGTAAAAAAATATCAATCATCTCATATGAAGATTTTTCATGCAGAGAGCACTGTTCAGAAATAACCATGGTGAAACTTGTTTCTGGTAACTTTGCACACTGGGAAGCCCTACTAGAAATGAAGTAGCTCTTGTGTCCAAATTGCTTTAATATACTGATTTTTGAAAAAACAAAGTGCCAGTTATAGACAGCAAGCCTTCCTGAGAGCTGTTCTCTTACAACCGATTTATTAGATGGTTCATTCTGTTTTCTTCATTAAAAGAATATCCCTTCCTAAACAGAAATCATACCAAGGAAAATTTTCCCTCTAACTCCTGTGTGGTACATGGTGTTATAGCTAGTCACAAAAAATATCTACAGGTACCTATTCTTCTATTTGGAGTTTACCTTTATTACAAAACTGTCTTGTCATATAAGCAGAAAACACTAGATGATGTAGCATTTGATTACAGAAATTAGAAATTTTTGAGGGGAAACATTTTGATTGTGCTGTCAAGGTTGCCTCTGTCTTGAATATGGGCATTAACTTTTATTCTATATTGTTTATGCTGTGATGATATCTGAAAGTGCCACTGAGTCTGGCAGCAGAAGGGGAGACTAATGGAGGTGATGTTACTGTGGAGCTGGTCCTAGATGCTATTCCAAACAGCTAATTTCAGTCTTGGCATGCATGTATTGCTACTGCCATTCATGTGTGGGTTCTTGGTCAGCTACAACAGACAGAATTTAGACTTTTGACAGTCAGAAATCTGCCTAGTGACAGACTGCTCTTACTGCAACATTTGTATCTTGACTACCCATGTAAATAGTCTTGGTCTACACCAACTTCAGTAAAAACTGTGTTTCTTATGCTAGGCACACACATTTAGCCGCTGTTGTATGTACAGCCGTGCCAGACTCTATGACCATACCTCAAAGTAGATTTGGTTTTGAAGTTAGAGTTTTTATTTTCTTGTTTTTTACCTGGAACTGGAAAGAAGGAGAAGATGCGCAAAGGAACAACACACAGCTCTGCAAAAGCGAAGTCTACTCCAATTATGTCAACTAAAATCTTCTCTGATACGTTTGGCGTCCAAAACATCACAAAACAGAGCTAGGAAGAACAAAATTAAGAAATGTTTGTATTTCAGAAGGGAAGCACAGCGGAAGATAGGCCCTCCTGGTCTAAAACATTTGTTTACCCTACTGATGGGTATTTTTGGTATTAGATGAAGGAAGAAGATGGATACAAAGTAATAAAAATACGTTTGCTTTTCTACAGTGTTCAGGGATCTGTAAAATTCAACGATTAAGGTTTTAATCATCACTAAGGCAGGCATATTTTATGACAAACTTTAACCACTTTATTTAACCATTCTTTGATGTTTCTGCCTCTTTGCACATACACTGATGAAAAAAACCCACAAAACTTACATGTTAAGCAATAGTCCTGTCTCAACAGTTGAGGAAGCAGTCATAAAAACCCAAGACACATGCATGCAAACCTAACAGAGTATTTGTTTGCTGGGTTTGGATTCTAACAATTCAAATGTTACGGTTCAGTCTGACTGTAATCAAGAAGAAATTGGAGGGAAGGTTTTAAAAGGCTCTTCAGAGAGCCACCCCAACCATCAACAGTTCTTGTCTTTGACTTAAGTTGAGGATGCTGAACACTCCAAAAGTCAAGACCAATTTTGTTGTTCTCAATAAAGACTGGAAAACAGATTCTCACTTCTCTCAAATCAATCAATCAAAAATATTGGAAAAGAAACAATCACAAGCAAAGTTCATAAACACAGTCAGAATTAATTTCTTTTACTTTGAGAAATGTATTCTCAAGCAGTTTTGCAACAACTTAAAGACGTTTTAAAACATTTAAATGCAGTAAGACTCTAGTGCACACATAGTATATTTATAATCAGCTTGCATGCAAATACACAGAGTACACAAGTAAGAGAAGCACATTAACTTCAGAAGCAATTCCTACTCTTCATGTTCCTCACATACCAAGACTGATGCATATAGAAAGAATTTTTATGGTGCCTGCAAATGGTCCAATTGTTACAAAAACAGTAAGAAACTTGACTTTTACAGTACTTGCTCTGGTTAAGACACCCATATTCCTACAGATTATCAAATGTTTTAATAACTAAAGTTCTGAAGTACTCCAAGACCCAGAGATCTGACCTAAATCTAAGACGAGGGGTTTAAACACACTGCTGATACTAGTACTGTTGGTATGTAATATGCCTGATACCAAGGCAAAAGTGTTCAGCACAGTCTTGCAGACACGGTGCCCTCAGGCCACAAATCCACCAAGTCTTGTTATTTTAAAGAGTGTGCTGTTTAGTCCATACATGAAAGGAAAACTTCCATAAAAAACCCCACAGCAAATGGTACAGCGGTAGCACATGCTGTTTAGTTTTTTGGTCAGTCCTGAGGCAGGGCTTCAGTTTGGGCTGAGGGGGCTCTTGGCAGCTGGCAGGTCCAGCTTCAGTTCAAGGCACTTGCTGAAGAACGGTGCTGACAGCCCTTACAGGACTTTTCCTGTAAGAAGGGGTACCAGACATCCTTTCAAGTATAACTACTTTGTCATTTAACTTGGTTTTGTGATTTAAAGTGATTTCTTCCTGTTATTCTCGCAGTAACGCAGATGTTAAGGAAGCAAGCTGACTGAGTGAGGCAAAACTTGAGACCTTAAATGCTCTGGCACTCCTCTGTCAGGTTACAAACCAGTGTACCAGGTAAATTATGCACACTGGCTGTACAATCTGATGGCTCTGTAAGACTCTATAACCTCCGTAAGACTCTCTTATAATTTATTCTACAAGCTAGCATCATAGTATCTAGCTCTTCTCTTACTATCCAGTTGTCACATCCCTACATGTTCAGATGGCTTTTAAAGCTAGTCTTTGAAGTCCTACCACCTCCAAGACAGCTGGGATTTCACTCTCATTCTTTGGTTGTGTGCCAGAGATTGTCCTTTCTATTTGGCCTACGAGTATCCAGACCACAGAAGTTTCCCAAGGTCCGTGACTGAGTGGCCTGTGGGAGGTCTTGTGTTCTGACAGCCTGTGCGGTGAACAAAACATTTCACCTTCCTGCAAAAAGGCTCATCTTCGGTTTTCTTGTCTACTTCTTAGGGTAGGAACCACTATTTATTTTGCACAATTGAATGCTTTACTTGACTAATTTGATGCTGTCCTGTGGTGTATCTCCATCACCTATACAGAGAATAGTATGTGGAGGAAGGTAAGAACAGAAGACCAATGAACTGAGCACAGAGTTTTTTCTGCTTTAGCCAGCACTTCTCTCTCCCTGCCAGACTACTTGTAAAGGATACAGCTGAAGCAGAGGGGACAATCTAGAGCAGAGAAGGTTGTGTGGTTGAGAATCCAGTTATTAAAAAGTAACTGTACAGTGACAAGAGCAAATTCTTCCATTGTTGCAGACACCATTAGGCAGACTGCAGTGATTTGTACTCTTACTGCACATGACCTGTAAAGCAACCATATAGGGAATATTTTGTCAAATCTTTCTTCAAAGTCCAATAAACAAAATATGATGCAAAGGTGTCCACTCTTCAATTATAATTTGCTGTTTTCATGAAAGCAAAGACCTTTATGCTGCTTGTACTGCACAATGCCATTAGCACCCTACTGAGCAGTATAGTTACTGCTGCTGCAAGATTCCATACATTTATGCTGACAGCAGAGTCTGCCCACTGCTAGCAAAAGGCAAATAGTGCAGTCTTTCCTCCTTCAACAGCCATTTAAAAGAATATTCTAATATGGTTAGACAGGCAAGCAAACAAGTGACCAAAAGCATTGTTCTCAATCCTGTTCTCTTTGAAATTAAATTTTGTTTCTGGCCTTAATAAGAACAGACTCAATCTCCATCCAGCTCCTACGGGAGGAAGGTCAGTTTGCAAATCAGAGGTAATGACTTATACCCAGGTGGTATGCAATCATTCCTCCTCAGCTGTTGCAAACTGCAGTCCTCCCCACTCCCTGCCCGCCTGATCAGCAGAGAGTCAGTGCTGATAAATGGCTTCAAAGAGCACTTCTTATATAGCAGCTGGTGGGTAAAGACAGCAGTGACTGCTGAGCTTATGAATAAGCAGTTTGAGGAGGTAAGGCATGGCAGCAGAAGGACCTTCTATTTCTGTCTCAGCATGCTTCCATCTTTTGGTTGCAATATTGATAACCAGTTTCATTTTGTAAAGAGATTCCTCTGTCATCTTATGAGCAGATTATATTCTCATTGCCTGCAGGGGACAAAGCCTTAGGAAAAGAAATTAATGCTTTGCATCATGCAAGCCCTCTGCAATTTAACTTCTGGAGCACTTGCAACTTGCGAAGTTTCCATATTATTTCAAAGACAAATTCAAAATGTAGTGAAAAAAACAGGCTCTGCTTCAGGGAAACAGTAATGCTAAACATGCAAAGGAGGGAAGGTATTTTGGCTACTGATTTTATTACAGATGAGGTATACTGAAAATAGGATGAAGTCTTAGCTTTTTGTGATGCTGAGTGGTCTGTATAATGTTTGCGATTACCTTGGTAAAGGGTGAGGACTGGTCAGAAAGGAGACCGGAGAAGACGGTAACAGATGAAACGATGCAAGGAGTCCAGTGAAACAGAGAACACGGCACACACAATTAGAGATGGGATCTACTGGAGTAAGCAGTGGTAACTTCCTGGGGCTCAGATCAGGAAAGATTTTAGGAAGTAGGTTTACCTACAGTATGTCTTAGTATGTCTCCTATCTTTCTTTTAGTTAAACACTCTTTGTTTCCCCCTCCCCCTTAGGTCTTTCTGTATGTGTCTGCAAGGTTAAAAATAGAATAAATAGGCTTGGGTAGCGTTACAGTTATACCTTCATTTAATCTAACCAAGAGGTGAAGATGAAACAGTAAATGCTTCAGCATAGGCTAGCAACATGCATGCATCATGACATTGCAGCTTCAGGTTGCAATTGCAGTTGGCTGCAATGGCCATATACAGTAATGAATACTGTACTCAGCAACTCTGCTGAGGCTGAAGCATTTTAATGCTTTGGGAGTAAGGATTTTGCTTGTGGAATTCTAGCAACAGAATTGATTTGATTTTCTGTTATCTTATGGTATCAGCACTGCATGATATTAAAGGATAGTTTTGTTAAAGCCTTTGATCATTTAAACAGAACTTCAACTGAGCAGTGATGAGCATTTTAAAAACACAGGAAAAAAAGAAGATATAAACAGGAGAGTGAAACACTACAGAGAATATGCAGGCCTGAGTGAAGACAGTAGTATTTATTATGGTGGTGTTATCTCTGTATAAACAACAGTAGCCTAAGTATTTCTGAAAGTGTTTTAATAATTTGAACTGATCTGAAGGGTTGTGCTATTGGGTAATGTGTCTTTAACTGATCTACAGTAGTAAAATTTGAAAGACTTTATTAAATATGTCAGTAATTTACAGTGGCATAAGAAAATCAGTACAGCTGTACTAGATCGGATCAAAGTTCCAGCTACATTAGTACCCTGCTAAAGGTCACTGGGGGTTGCGTAAGGAAAGGGCACAAAGAGCTGGGCAAGTGCAGAGTAAGAGATGCCCTTCCCCGGTCTGAGCTGCTGGCAGTTCAGTGACTGTGGTGCACCTTCATCCCATGCAGCATTATGTTGTGCATACAAAATATCTAATATTAGCAATTTTTTTTTTCCAATCCAGTTGTGCATTGAAAAAAGTCAAAAAACCTCTCACTTGTGGCTTAGACACTCTCCGTAAGTAGGTGTGCTTACTTTCATGTGGAACCTTGCTATTCTCAGCTAGCAAATTCAGTATCTAGGCATATTAAAAGGTTACACATCAAAAACTTCTGCTGCCTGAGAGAATGCACTAAATCTTTGTTTTGGCAGGGAAAGTATCAAACTGGTAGTGCTTAGTCCAGCTTCTCTTTAATCTCTTTTCGTAAGCACACTTAATGCATTTGACTTTCACAAATGATTGTGACGAAAGACTGTTCATGAGATTTTTTTTTTTTTTTTTCAGATGCTGCATGTGGGAGTTTGAATGCTAGTAGTTCTTGAAAACTATCAGTCTTTTCATAGGCTTTGCATCTCCTGGAAGC